TTCCCTGTCCTTCACGATCTCCCAGAGCTTGCTCAAACTCATGTCTGTTGAGTTCTGATGCCATCCAACCATCTCATCCTCTATCACCCTCTTCTCCTTTTGCTTTCAATTTTTCCCAATTGGCAATGCAATAATGTCTCTGTCCAGAAGGAAAAGGCCAAAAGCGGGAAAACTCAGCACTACTTTGTCTGAAGCTGTGCTATGTGCTGTGCTAAGTCTCTGGGACCCTTTGGACTGTAGCCTACCCGGCTCCTCTGTCCGTGGGGTTTCCCAGTCAAGTATACTGGAGTGGGTTGCCATTTCCTCCTCTGGGAGATCTTCCCAACTCAGCGATCAAACCCATGGCTCCTGCATCTCTTGCATTGCAGGCAGATTCTTTATCCACTGAGCCATCTGGGGAGCCCCCATTGTCTGAAACACCCCTTCCCAGGAACCAGGCCAGTGGCATTTTCAGCCAGCTTTGGCTGAAACGGTCTGATCTCAAGATGAGACTGAAGTGCCAAAGGCAAACTCACATACAGAACAAGGCCTGAACTGGAAACAAACCTTTACACAGATCCCAAATAAAGCCTGGAGGACCTCACACACAAAGAGGGTGTGAGCTTGGATCCACAAGAAAGATGTACCTTCAAACTCCAGGGTCAGCAGGGAAAGCAGTGAGCCCAGCGGGGCAACATGGGTACCACCTCTCCTTGTTCACCCAGTGAAGGAGGAAACAGAACAGGCTCCATCTTGAAAGCAGGACTCCATCTTGGGCCAGGCTGTGAACTTTGAGCTACATGCCCAGTATCTGTGAAAACATACCAACTGGAAAACCAGGCCCCCAGAAGGAAGAGCCCCAGGGCTCACACCTAGACTCTCTGTAGCGTGAAAGAATACCCTAATTATCTGTGTAACCAAATAGAATCATAAATTCTATTATGCTTATTGGGGTATGACCACAGGCCTATTAATTGTCCACTGTTAACTACCTAGGCTTAAGGCATATGAATCACGGGTTAACTTTGATTGTATCTTTCTTTTCCTTTATTCAGACTACTTTCAGGGACTTAGGGGAGGTGGATTTGGGCATGTACGCTTAGGGTATATAAGGTTTTCATGAAAACTGGTCAGGGTCCTTGGCTATGAGGAGACTCCGCCTTGGCCCCGCTGGTGTAACAAACTGCACTCCACTATCTGCATTGTCCTTCTGAGTGAGTGTTTCCCGGAACGCGTGGCTACAGCACCAGATGTGCTCTGGAGCCTTCTCTGGCCCCTGTAGGGAGAAAAAAAGTGACGGCCTTGAACAAACAGACTGCCAGGTATTTCTCCAGCAAAGATGGGGTTATTCGGGGTCAGCAGAGAAGTGCAGTTCAGGATCTGCCACTGTGGCGAGCCACGTGGAGTTCTGGCGCAGCGAGGGGGAGAGCGCGCTTCTCTGGAGAAGAGGGAGGTGGGGGCTGTGGAAGACAGCCTGTGGCTGTGCGCTGGCCGAGCCTCTGCCGGGAAAGGAGAGGCGTCTTCTTCCTCTTGGGCTCTGCCGTTGTCGCGGGGCAGAGAGAGCCCATTCTGGCCTCCCAGGTCTACTTAAGGTTTCTGCTGATTAACTTTTCACACTGGGTAGTTCTGGCCCAGGATAGAATACTGCCAGGGCAGAGGGCACAGTTAAACAATCAAAATCAGTTCTCCTTTAAAAAGTTAACTTGTTTATTGTATAAAAGTCCCCATGAGAAAGGATCCTGTGTGGGGAATGCTTTGTCTCAGCTCCGTGAGGCAGAAAGCCTAGAGGTCAAGGCGGGGAGAGAACTTAGACTTCAAAACAATTCTCTTCCCTGCAGATCACAACTCCTGATGTTCACAATAAAATGACAAGAGATGAGTTACTGATGAGTCCTTGAATGTAAAATGAATTTATGGACTTGCCTGTCTGATCAAGAATTAATGGACTGAATTTAACAGAAGGTTTTCTCTCCCCTCCACTTAGAGCTGGCAGGATTTTTATTGTATTATCTATCAGCCAGTGTAAGGAGCATGTGAGTAAAATAAATGTGCAAGTCTGTAATGAATGTGAAAATCTTATGCATTTAATTGAAGCAAGGTCACTGGCTTCTTCTGGAGAGTCTCAAGGTCACTTTTCCTGTATTACAATAGGTGGCCTGTAGAAATACCGGTGAACTATCAGTAGGCAGATGGTGATCGCTGAGATATTATCTAAAGTATAGAAATATTAATACATTTGACTTTTATCACAAACTGATTACTTGCTCATCTTCAATATATCTCATAAAATGCAACACCATTTTCCCCAGGCATCTTCATGAAACACACACAAGATGAAAAGAATTGGTGCATTCGTGGACACGCTGTGTATCGACCACATTATCCACACACAGTCTGGATACTCAGCCACTGGACACAGCAGCAGCGTCTCCATTTTTCAAACCATAGAACAGAGACTTTAAGCAACTCACTGAATTAATACAGATGGAAATTGTGGGGCTGAAATTTTCAGTCAACATTGTGAACTTCACAGCTCAAGGGCAGAGAGCAGCAGGTCTGGGGGGCCGAGTCACAGCCGCACTGCATCACTTCTGCCACTCAGCCCCACCCCCCACCCCTGGGCAAATATCCCCTGGCAGTATCTTCTGACTCTGGTCCAGGGCTCAGTACCTTATTGAGAATGGGCCAGTTTTTCCCAGGGTAAGTAAAGTCATACACTTGGAGCCAGAGATTAAGATAAAAAAATATTTACAGTTATCAGTCAACAAAAATGCCAGAAGAAACAGTTTTCTAATTGCAGAAAGCCACTCAGATGATTTTCTGAACATACTCAGATAATTCAAACAACAACTTTGTAGGGATGATGAGTACTCTGTGATAAAGGACCACAGTCAGCTAACTTACACGAAAAAACAAGTCTTCATTATGTAGGTCAGACCCAAGGGTCAAGCTAGTGGGAGGCGGGCAGCAGTCAGGCAGCACTTTTCCAGGGGTCCAGCCTCTTTCCTCCTCCAGGCAACACTGCAGTCCACAGCTGTGTCTATATCCTGCACAACTGTTATCATTTCATAACTGGCTGACAATCCCAGTTCTTTCCAAGCTTTGAAGATACTTGCTTTTGACTCACTGCCCTGACTTACTTCCTCTTCAGCTTCTCAATCAGAAGTCAGCTCTTCCAGGTGCCATCTGTGTCCACAGTTTAACCTGTACCACTGGGAGGAGGTAGTTGAGTGATGCATCTAAAGAAAGTAGGTCAAAAGTAACATTTCCAAGGCCCTGGTCTGTGCATACCAGGAGGCTACAGGAGCTCCCGAGGCCCTGGGCAAAGGGAGAATGAACAATCTCGAGAACAGGCTCTGTGGTCGTCCTGAGAGCAGTCACTGGGCCGTCCCTAACTCTCATCATATATCCACGGAAGAGATGTGGCCATCAATCATTACTTGATTTTTAAGGGCAACTTTTTGAAAGAAGTTACCTTGAAGTGCAATAACAACAGGGACGAGCAATGGACAAGAGCCAATTTAAATTAGTAAAGCTGAAATTTTTTTAATGGATATTTATTGAGTTCACAGGCAAGAACACACTGATCACACGTTTGCTGCTCCTTCTTCCTGGAGTATCAGACTTCCTTCTCTGCCTAACTCACCTGAGTGAACGCTCCTTTTATCCTTCAAATCTTACTCTTGCACTACTGCGTTCCCTGGCCCTCCAGGCACTGGTTCACTCCCCCTGCCTGGCACACACTTTTCTCTTGAGATGTCTTCTGTCTGTTCACAGGCCTATCTCTGTCAATTTTGTATCCCTGGGGCTTGGGTCACACAGCATAGGTGTTCAGTAACATTTGTTGAACTGAAGACTTCAAGAAAGTTGTTGTTTTTGTTCAGTCGCTAAGTCCTGTCTGACTCTTTTCGACCCCAGGAACTGCAGCACTCAGGCTTCCCTGTCCTTCAGTATCACCCCGAGTTTGCTTAAACTTGTCCACTGAACCAGTGATGCCATCCAACCATCTCATCCTATGTCATCCCCTTCCTCTGCCCTCAATCTTTCCCAGCATCAGGGCCTTTTCCAGTGAGCCGGCTCTTCACATCAGGTGGCCAAAGTATTGAAGCTTCAGCATCAGTCCTTCCCATGAATATTCAGGACTGATTTCCTTTAGGATGGACTGGTTTGAAAATTAGGTAGATTAAAATTATTATTTGAAAAGGAAGGCTTGTCAATGGAGAGGACTTTTAAGTCCATTTGCTTACAGAACAAAATGTGAAATATTGGGTAGATTATAGTCTAAGAGGCCACCCTTAAGGCAGAAAGTGAAGAACTAAAAAGCCTCTTGATGAAAATAAAAGAGGAGAGTGAAAAAGTTGGCTTAAAGCTCAACATTAAAAAAACTAACACCATGGCACTTGGTCCCATCACTTCATGGCAAATAGATGGGGAAACAGTGGAAACAGTGGCTGACTTTATTTTTCTGGGCTCCAAAACCACTTCAGNTGAGGGGGCCATGAAGGCGGCGGCGGGGTGCGGGCTCACCCCCTTTCCCCCTCTCTCTCTGCCGCACCCACCCCTCTTTTCCCTTGTGGACCCCAATGTCTTTCCAGCCAGGACAACAGTGGGTGAGTAGACCAGCCCATCCGCGTGCCTGGCTGGCCCCGAGTGTACCCCGCTCCTCGGGAAAGCCCCGGAAGACGGAGGGCTGGCCTGGGGCCGGGGGCTGGGGACCCGATACCCAGCGCGCAGAGCCTCCAGTGCCCACCACAGCACCAGACCCCCAGAACGGCTGCCAGGGGCGCAGGCGGGCGAGAGCCGGGCGGCACGCCCCCCACGCAGGCCCCGCCCCCAGGCCTCTCCGCGGGGCCCCGCCCCGGAAGTCCCTGTCCCTGCTTCTGCCCCCTGGGCCCACCCCGAGACTTCCGCCCAGGCCTCGCGTCCTCAGGAACATCCGGCAAACTGACGAGTCAGAAGAGCGCTTGGCTCTGGGCCCCACCCTCGGCACCGGGATTTGCGTCATCTCCCTGCGCCGCCGCCGGACATTCGGGCTCTGTTATGGCGGCGCTCGGCCGGGAGCTGAGGTGGTCTGCGGTGGCCTGGAATGAGCTATGACCCGGCTCCTGGGCGTGGTGCACAGAGTGGCTTTGGCCATTGTGGGCTGCAGTAGCCCGAGCTGCCGCAGTCTTGCCATGTTCTATGCCGTGAGGAGGGGCCGCAAGGCCGGAGTCTATCTGACCTGGTGAGCAAGCCGCACCGCCCCAAGGCGGTGTGGGCGGCTTCGCGGCGAGGGGGCGGCAGTCACCCCCCGGAGCCCGCGGCCCTCTCTTGGGGTAGGCGCGTGGGGGCCCTGACGTCGTCGGCCTCGGTTCCCCTTCGTGTTTGCTGGGAGTATCGGAAACGTCACTTACCGTCAGGGGGTGACCAGAGGCTTACTTCTATTTAATCCTTCCTGGGGGCTCAGACGGTAAAGCGTCTGCCTACAATGGGAGAGACCCGGGTTCAATCCCTGGGTCGCGAAGATCTCCTGGAGAAGGAAATGGCAACCCACTCCAGTATTCTTGCCTGGAAAATTCCATGGACTGAAAAGCCTGGTAGGCTACAGTCCATGGGGTCATAAAGAGTCGGACACGACTGAGTGACAGCACTTCACTTCTTCCCTTTGCACGGAAAGTTTCCAAACGGTGACACATAATGGAGCTCAACGCCTAATGTCATTTTCTGCTTTTAAAAAGAGAAATTCTTGTCAACTAGTGTTTATATCCCCATAACAATCCTGTGAGTTAGATGGGATCCTCATTTTTGTGTGCAGTTACTGTTACAGAAATTCAGGGGGCGAATAAGTGACAGATGTAGGTCTTGAACCCAGGTGTTATGATTCCAGGACCAGGACTCTTACCCCTGCATTATCGAGGTCTGTTACCTGTGGATGTGTTGTGAGTGCGCAGTGTTTCCCCCTGCGGCTATGCTTTGAGGAAGAGGCACCTCAGAAGCTGATCTTTATGTTGTAATGAAGTGATTAAAGACTCAAAAGTTCTAATATGCTTTGAGGAAGGCTACTTATGGTGTGAGTGCACTGTCTGGCTGGCACATAGCATGAAACAGGGTGAAGGGTTGGACATGCAAGATATACTACAAACACTAAGGCATGATCCTTTGCCTCCAAGGAGCTGACAGCCTCACCCTTTTTCACACTGTTCCCAACCTGAGAAAGTCGTCCATTAAAAAGTAGGGTAAATAACAGAGCAGGGAAGTCGGTAACACTGCCCTTTGTTTCAGGGATGAATGCAGAGCACAGGTGGACCGGTTTCCTGCAGCCAGATTTAAGAAGTTCGCCACAGAGGAGGAAGCCTGGGCCTTTGTCAGGTCTGCAAGCCCCAGTGATTCAGGAGGTACTCACAGCTCACATCTTTGTGGCGTTTTAGCCTGTTGAATGGAGACGGCAATGGCAACCCACTCCAGTACTCTTGCCTGGAAAATCCCATGGACGGAGGAGCCTGGTAGGCTGCAATCCCTGCAGTCGCTACGAGTCAGACAGGACTAGGCGACTTCACTTTGAAGTCGTTCATGCATTGGAGAAGGAAATGGCAACCCACTCCAGTGTTCTTGCCCAGAGAATCCTAGGGACGGCGGAGCCTGGTGGGCACACAGGGGTCGCACAGAGTCAGACAAGACTGAAGTGACTTAGCAGCAGCAGCAGCCTATTCAAAGCTTGTCAAAGCCCAGGATGCTCTTGATCTATATGTTGTGGTGGTTCAGTTGCTCAGTCTGCCACTCTTTGTGACTCCATGGACTGTAGCATGCCAGGCTTCTCTGTCCTCTGCTATGATCTACATAGCTACTCTTCTAAATGCAGAGAGGAGATATTTTGGTCGTTTTTATTTTACAGATTAGGAAATGGGCTGAAAGCATTTTAGTTTAGGGACTGCTGTTGGTAACAGTGTTAGAGACAAGCCAGGACTCAGACCCCCTACTTAGGCCCCTCACTGTGCTTAATCTCACCTTTAAGAATACGCACTCTTGTTTGTGGGTTGAATGGGCTTTAGTTGTAAAATGACGAATGTAGTTCTTTTCCCAGCATGCACCTCTGTGGCATTTCCTTTTTACCTTAGACGGAGTCCTGCAATTGGAACTTCCCCCAGTTCACGTGTTAGAAAGTAGAGTTAATTGACGTTTAAGAACTAACATAAGGGACACTGAAAGTGACTGCTTTAGAGCACAAAAGTTTAAACTATAACCTACCCTGAAGAAGTGTTTTTTATTTTTATGAACTTTACTCAGGCATTTTTTACGGCAGTGGATGAAGGCTGAGAGGAGAATATTTCAAATCAGCTTCTTTTGAGCAGTCTCTGGAGCTCACTGAGGTGCTCAAGCTTTGAACAAGTGCTCCTCTGGGCTGTCGTGACCATTTTGGGCAGAGCGGAGTTCAGGGAGAGGCAGGTCCTGCTGGGAATCTGCCCGGAAATGCGAGTTTCCGAAGTAGAGGAGACCCATCCTCTTGTGTGGCCGCTGCCTCCTCAATCTGCCAGCAGCCTTTCAACAGAGGTGTGATGTGACAGTTCCATTTTCTCCCCAGATGGGAAATCAGCTTGGCATAGAAAGCTAGTTTGGAAGTATCAGTCTTGTCTTGGCTGGGTCCTTTTTTTTTTTTTTAAGATTTATTTTTGGCTGTGCTGGGTCTTCCTTGATGCAAGGCCATGCTCTCTAGTTTCGCTGAGTGGGGATAACCCTTGGTTGTGGAGCACGGGTGCTAGGCGCGTGGGCTTCCGTAGTTGTGGTGCAGGGACTTAGCTGCCCCTTGGGCCTGTAGGGCTTTCCCAGACCAGGGGTTGAACCTGTAACCCTTGTATTGGCAAGCAGACTCATAATCACTGGACCACCAGGGAAGTCCCCTAGAGGAATATTTTCAAGGTAAGTATGAGGAAATACAAGTACATCAGAGTGGAAATACCAGTGTTGCTCTGGAGGTAGTGGAAACTTCCCTCCAGTTCTCCCAGGCTGGCCTTAGCACTCCTCTGAGACGTGTGGGGCGAGAGGCTGCGCCAGGCAGGAGGCTTCAGCTGATGCCTGTCTAGTCAGTGCTCAGTAAATGCACTGGTTTAGGGGTTAGGGTAGGAAGTCCCCTCCAGTGTTGGGTTAAGGTGGTGGTTTTCGAGATCTCTGTGTTCTTATTTCTGCTCCATGAAAGGGAAGTGCAGGGAAAGCGGCTTCAGGTCACCGAGTGCCTCCTTGTACAGCAGCTGTGATGGGTGAAGTCATTTGACGGAGTTCACAGCTGATGAAGGGTAGAGCTCAGATCGAAACCAGTTGTTTGAATCCTGTTCTCATTCTTCTGCGTCAGCTGCCATAAGTACATGAAAGAGTTAACCGAGCTATAGCCTGAGTGGGTATGAGTATGCCTTGAGGGTCACCCTCGGGTCCACTCTGGAGGGAGGGCTCGGCCGGTGCCACCCCTGCCCCGCGCGGTGCCCACCAGTGTTGTCCCCCCAGGCAGTGCCCACCCCCTCCCGCCCGTGCAGTGCCCACCAGTGCTGTCCCAGCAGGGCTCCAACCCTAATACCTTTTGGCTTCCACTTCCCTTTCTTAATACGTCCCATTGTCTGTTCTCAGCTTATGCACAAACACTGGGTCCTTGTTTTCTCTTGGGAAAGAGCCTCTCAGATTTTCAAACTCTGAGCCCTAGAGGGTTCAGCACCCATGGTATCTCTGCCGTCTGCATGGCGACCAGTGTTCTTCTTTAGCAGAAGCTTTGCTGTGGTCTTCACCCTGCCCTTGTGGAGCTTCTTAAGGAAAATTTAGAGTCACTTTTCAGGACATTAGTCTTTCCCTTTTTACAGAGCCCCACACAGGGTGTTTAAGCCTGACTTCGTGAATTTCTGGATTCTCCATCATTTCATGTTGTGTTGTTTCCAGTTTTTGAATAGACTCTTATCTTTCAGGGCAAAAAACTAAACACGTAGAAGAACCACAAGTGAAAGCAAGCAAGCGACTCCATGAGCCCCTGGATGAGGGTGAAAAGGCAGAGCCGTGTGCAAAGCACGTGAGACAGAGCACAGAGCCACCACCTCCAGTTAGCAAAGACAGCTTTTCTTACATGGGTATGTCTGTCTGGAATTTTTAAAATTTTAGTAGTGTAATTGTTTATGTGTAAAAACTTTTTCCACTTCATAAGGGAAATTTGAGCTGATGTGTAACATTCTTACCTGGAAAAGTTATTTAAAAATCTCTGAGGTCACTATTTTATAATCGATCAAATGGTGCAGCATTTTTAGAATTTTAGACATTCACTGAAAACTATTATATAAGCTACACATAAAAACTCTGTGATCTTTGTAAACACCATTGTTCTCTATGGACACAGTATTTCTGGTCCCTAAGAAAATGGAAAGACTTCAGCTCTTCAGATAAGAAAGGCCCTGGACAGAGCTCCTTTATATGTTTACTGGCACCAATATCTTAACCATTTATGTGCCATCTTTGCAAAACAGACATGATCCTGTCGTCTCCTATGAAGCAAGATAGTTGTGAATGTCTCCTGTGCCTTTAACTCTAGGAATCAAGTATTTGTATTTAGTGACTTACGGTACATGGGTCTCCTTTTTGTCTTTAACATGTTTAAATAAAAAACAGGAATAAGTAGCAATTTTTATATAAATCAGTGTATTTGGGGGTTCCAAGTTTACCAAAGAAGAAGCCATTTTAAAATTCAAAAGTGAAAAAAAAATAAAATTCAAAAGTGAAGTCGCTCAGTCATGTCTGACTCCTCGCGACCCCGTGGACTGTAGCCTACCACACTCCTCCGTCCATGGGATTCTCCAGGCAAGAGGACTGTTCAAGGGAATTATAAATTCAAGGGAAACCAGTAAAAAAGTTTGGTCAGACCGTGTGGAAACTGTTTGAAGTTATGTGAAAAGCAGAATCAAATGGTTTAGATCAAGTGAGGCAGATACTTGTGGGGTGACTGGGAGATGAGTGTGCCCAGCACACCAGCAGGTGCCTGAAGCGCGAGGGTCCCCGACTCAGTGCCTGATGGGTCCTCACAGTGGGCACAGGGCTGAGGACCCAGGAGGCCGTCGTGCTGAGCGTCTCGTTCACTAGACCATGGTCTCCAAGGCTGCCAGCCCTGCCCTCACGCCTCACCTCCGCCCTGCTTGCCTTCACCTGTTGAGTCTGCCCTCCTCCGCCGCACGCCGCACGCCGCACAGACACAGCCTCCGCTGCCCCGCACCCCTGCTCCCCGGCACCTGGTAGTCCGGGGCCCCCGCCCTGCTGAGTGCCCTGTTGGCCCTCGGCGGCCCGAGAGTCACTGCTGCTCTGCCTTGTTCTTAATACAGCGTGGGTGTGCTGATCAGACTCTGTTTTGGTGGAAAGAAGCAAACAGGACCACAGTTCACTGTAGCAAAAGGCCCAAGACAAAAGTTAGGTCCGCATCTGTCAGAGGGCTTGCCCTTCAGGCAGGGAGGACGTCATCACCGTCAAGGCACTGGTGTCTGCAGGGGCCGCTTCTGGGGTAAACGCACCCCCGGCCCCTGTGGCGAGGGGGCGGTGGCACTGCTGGTTGGCCTCTGAAGCAAGCATTGTAAATAGCAGCAGGTTCTGGGTTCACAGAGCGATCGCTTTCACTTGAACTTGCCCAGCAGGCAGGACTGAAATATGAGTGGATTCCAAGCAGGAAGTGTCAAGTGCCTCCGTGCGGCATTAGTAATGTTCTCCTGCACAGAAAACTTCCGAAGCATAAGTACCCTCTTGAAGTAGAATGCTAACTCAACTGTAGTAAATCTTTTAGATGAATTCCAGTTTTTCATAACGCTGATCCTTGACGCGCACTCGGTCTCCCACTCACAGGGGACTCTGTGGTCGTCTATACCGACGGCTGCTGCTCCAGTAACGGGCGCAAGAGGGCCCGAGCGGGAATCGGCGTTTACTGGGGGCCGGGCCATCCTCTGTAAGTAAGCCCGAAAAGCAGTTTTTATTAAGCTTCACAGTTAACTGAGTCATGCTTCAAAACCTGGGAAAGGATGAGGCAGCGTCTGCCACTGTTTGATTATTTGGAGGCGTTGGCAGGGCTAGCAGGAGGCTCCCGAGCCCCTGGGAAGTGGTTTTTGCAAGGATGCACCAGGGGCGGGTCACCAGATTGGGACCCTGTGCCCCCGCCACTCTTGAAGATGAGTGAGCTTAGAGGTCACCCGTGGTTTTCAAAAGGCAGAGAGTCAGGGTGAGGGGAAGTGAGATTGTTCACATACGCCTGCCCCAAGTGCGGAAGAACTTGAGTAACTGATGGCCCAGAATTCACGTGAAGTAGGGATTGGAGCCCTGTGAAGTAGCCGCTCACCGGTTCCTCAGCAGCCCCAGGCAGGAGTGGGGTCAGCCGCGCGGCGTGCTGCTCTCGCGCCTCCTGGCCTGTCCGTCCTCCGCCTCTACTTGATGCCTCACTTAGCCTTGAGTCCTCCATGGAGTGGCGAGCTCGGGTGGTGTGAGCACCTGGAGGGTTAGTACCCGACCAGGACCACATGCTGGCGTGTTTCAGGTCCAGAAATTAATCTCGGGTTTTGCCTCCTGGTCCAGGGTTCTCCTACAGGACCACACCATAGTGCTTCTCAATAAAATGTAGGGTTTCTTGGTTTGATTTTTAAAGGCTGTGTTCTTGAATGATGCTTTCATGTTTCAGATAAAAAGTGTATACAAGCCTGTTAGCTATTAAGAGACTTATAGAATGAATCACTTTGAGAATTAGTGTTATAATTTTATTTTCCTTTGTACTGTTTTGAAACCAGAAATGTGGGAATTAGACTTCCTGGGCGACAAACCAACCAAAGAGCAGAGATTCGTGTAAGTTATTGAATGTGTTTTTCTACCAAATGTGTCAGTTTATTGTTCTTGACTATTGACTAGAACATATCAACAAACTCTCTACTCTCTGTGTATGTAAGATACTCAGAGTCCAGAAGTTTAGGGCAAGAATAGTCCTGATGAACAAGATATTTCTAGAAAAATAATAAAACTTGTTTCAAATAGATGTATAAACAGGAGAATTGTATGTGTAGCATTATTTTACATAGACAATATTATCTTTACAAGTAGCACAGGAAAAGGAATTTAAATTTTTTGGTAATTTTGAACAACAGTGTCGAAAGTTGAATGGTCTTTTCAGCATGAAACTGGTGTGTTTCTTCCAGGCAGCCTGCAAAGCTATCGAGCAGGCTAAGGCTCAGGACATCACTAAGCTGGTTCTCTACACGGACAGTATGTTTACCATCAATGGTAAGCGGCTACGTTTGACTCCTCCTAGGGCTTTTGGAATAATTATGCAGGGAAGTAGGTGTTTCCTTCCCTGGAGGAGGTGTGGTGTCAGGGCGGGACCCAGGCGGTAGGGGATGGCGCTGGTGTGTTGGGGGTGAAGGAGGCCCGCACAGGTCCGGGGTTGGCCCCAGAGGCTTGGCCGTGATGGGCATGTGCACTTCCTCTGGGAAGTTCTGCGCATGGGACCACGACTGCGAGGGGCTGAGGGGTTGTGGAGGAGGTGGGAGGAAGCGGGGCCTCAGCCCCAGAGCCGCAGGTTGTAGGTAGAGTGGAGGGGTGGAGGAGCCAGCGCCCGGCCCCGTGGGAAGGAAGGTCCAGTGACTGGGATGCCAGCGGAGCGGCGGTCAGAGGGCCGTCTCGGGAGGAGGGAAGAGCGGCGCGTGCAGGAGGGACCTCTGAGCGTGCGTGTCGTCCAGGCATCACCAGCTGGGTGAGGGGCTGGAAGCGGAATGGCTGGAGGACCAGCACCGGGGAGGAGGTCACCAACAAGGAGGACTTCGTGGAGCTGGAGCGGCTGGCGCAGGGCATGGACATTCAGTGGGTGAGTGCCGGGCCGCGAGGACCAGGCGCATCCGTGAACTAGAGCGGCAGGGTTTGGGGAGTGACGTGATGACTGGGTCCAGGCGGCAGCGTGTGTGAGAGCGCCCCGTGAGGAGTGCTGCCGCTGCAGGCGGGCCGCCGCGAGAGCCGCCTCTGAGCGTCAGCCCCTGGCTTCTTTGGGAGCGGCCGTCCTGTCAGCTAAACCAGTGTGTAATGTGTCTCGTTAAGAACGTAGTTGCGTGCTGAAACTTTAGTAATGTGATTTTTTTTTCTTACGCTAGGTCACTTTTATTAAAATCACCTTTTCTTTTTTTTCACTTTTTGTTTTATATTGGAGTATAGCCGATTAACGATGGTGTGGTAGTTTCAGGTGGACAGCAGGCTCGGCCCTGTATATACACTGGATGTATATATATCCATATCCAATAGATAATATATGTCCATTCTCCCCGAAAGTTAATAGTCCAGTCACTTTCTTAACCCTACCTGGCTCTCCCAGCCCAGGACCCTCTTGACCATTCGGCAACCCGTTTGTCATTTAAACTTGCCTTTCAGGGACTTCCCTGGTGGTCTGGGGGTCAGGACTCCATGCTTTCACTGCTGAGGGCACGGGTTTGATCCCTGGTCAGGGAACTAAGTCCTGCAAGCCTTGCAGTTCAGCCAAAAAATAAAATAAAAAAATTAGTAAACTTGCCTTTCAGCAGCCTAAGTGCAAACAGTGGTTCAGTTACACAGGGGCACCCCTTCCGCTTAGCAGCCCTGAGGGAGAGTAAGGGGGTGTGTCTGAGCCCTGCATGCCAGCCCTGCCTCCACTCGGCCTGGAGAGCTCACCACTGAGTGGGGGAAAACCGGTGCAGTGCTGGAGCCCAGTCTGGGGAACAGTGGGTCTCTCCCGGCGTGTCTGGGGCTCGAGTGCGGTGGGCACACGCCTTGGGCTGCTCCGAGCTGCGCTGAGGGGGCTGTGGGGGCCCCGCGCTCGCCCTCCCTGGGGGCTTGGCTCCTACTGCAGTGGGCGTGTTGTCATGCGCTGCTTGTGTAAACACTGGTAAGAATGAAAGGAAACTTTTATTTAACAGATGCATGTCCCTGGCCATTCGGGATTCAGAGGCAACGAAGAGGCGGACAGATTGGCGAGAGAAGGCGCGAGGCAGCCCGCAGACTGAGCCGGTGCTGTAGCTCCTGAAACCCTAAGCCGAGGCCCATGTCCCCTTTACTTTCCGGGGTGAAGAATAAAGCTACAGGCTGGGCCCCACCGTCTGTGGGCAGACCCGCCTTTCAGACCGAACCCAGAAGGCGGGCTGGTGGTCTGTGGTGTGTGCAGTAAAGCCGGTCGGATGGTTGGTAGATTGAACATCCGTTCAGATTTGAGAATTTTGTGAGATCTTAGCATTATGCTTTATCGGGCTCGATACTGTTCTCATTAGCTGTATTGCAGTTTGGACAAAAATGTCAGGGCCTTGATTTCACAAGGACAAGGTCAACACGGGTTTAAAAACGCAGGCGAGAAGTCTAGATGTTTTCTGAAAGTGTTCATTTTCCTTCCAGTTGGCAGGATGGAGTCAGGACTCTCAGGTGGACCTGTGCCTACATGGGTTGGAGGTGGGTGCAGCGCACCACCCGCCCCAGGACCCAGGACCCAGGACCCATGCCCAGCCAAGGGGATGTGGCTGCGCCTGGTGGGCATGAGGGGGGCCGCCTGCTCCCGCAGTCCCGGCTGCGTGCCCGCCAGGTAGCAGCGGTCATGGCGTCTGAAGACTGCGGTTGTAAATGGATGCTGTAAAGGTGTCTTTGGTTATTTTTGTTAAAAGCACCTTGAAAATTAAAAACTTTAACGTTTTTTTCTTCTATTACAAATATTGTCATAAAAGCATGCAGAAATGATACAAAATAAATGGACAGATTATTGAATTACTGTTACTACTACTACAAACACTGTTACCATTATGGCGATTACTGCAAGGTGAACACCCTTGTGACCACCCCCCTGGGCCAAGAAAGAAAACCCGGCCTGGCGCCTCCACACACAGCACNTCTGCCCTGCAAGTTCCCACTCTGAGGTCTGTCACTTCCCATCTTGGGCCGTCCAGAGTGTTCCTGCCCCTCTGTTGCCTACAGGTTGGCAGCGGGGTCCGGAGGCCTGGTCGCCACGGGCTCCTCCCGTGGGCATGTGTGTCCCGGGCGCTCATCAAAAGGCGGCGGCGGCTTCGTCCTTCCCGCACGGGCAGCTGCGGCGCTCAGGGCCCAGGTCTGTTAAATCTTGCAGGTGGCAGAACGCTGATACCCTGTCATTCTGCTTGTTTATTAGCTGGAATGGTTTCAGAAGCTCCTTCCCCTCATCTGATTTTGGTTTCAGGGGGTAGAGGTCACATACAAAAGGCAGGATAAGTGCTAAGGTTGGCTCCCTGTCATCCTGAGAAGGTGACCAATTAGGGGTTTTTTTCTGTGTGTTTCTCTAACACGTAAAGATATGTATTGCTCATGAACTCACGTACTTGAGCTGCCTTGGTGGATTTCAGTCCAGGCACCCAGCTTGCAGCTGGGGGGAGCCTTTCAGTTGGCTCTTGATTGCTCTTCATGTTCACGTGCGTACATTTCCTGCTGGTCCGTCCCCAGCTGCAATCTAAGTTTCCTGTTTGGGGGAGATTTTACATTTTTGTGTCTGTGATGAGGGCCTCAGTTCCTCCTGTGTTCCCTCTGGGGTTTAGATGTGTCCTGTCATATCCCAGCGCCGGGCATGCCCTGCCAGCATCTCCTGGATTAGGGTCGTGGGGGCTGAGGGCCCCCGGGGAAGTCAGTCCAGGCACCACTGCAGTTTAGCAGTTTCAAGAAATCAGGGTCTTACAGTCAGGGATGTGTTGTTCTTTAGCAGTATTTTAACTCCTCAGGGCCTGAGAATCAGCTGCATTATTTTGGCTGGGGAGGGGGGGGTCTTAATTTGTTGGCATAGGTGACTTGATCCACAGGCAGTGTCTTAGGTCTGGGGTGCTGACATCCTGCCACGGTGCACCCTGCCCTGAGTTTGGAGGGGCTTCAGGTAGAAAACAGACCCACCTTCTGCATGTCTCGTGGAGGGCGTGGGGTCCTGAGAGCCCAGGCAGGGGACGTTGGTTGGCATCTGGGAAGGGTGGTGGGGCTGGCGGACATGCAGGAGAACTACCCCACTCGGGACAAGACAAGACGGTGCTGTGGGGGCGAGGGGGGGGCACAGCAGCTCAGTCAGGGCACAGAGCACTCCCTGGACAAACCTGTCCAGTCATCAGGGCCCAACTGGAGGATGCTGAGCTGCATGCGAGCATGGAGGCTGCAAGGGGCTGAATCATGCCCCCAGCACAGGGTGTGACTGGGTTTGGATGCTGAGCCTTTCCTGAGGCGGTTGCATTAAAATGAGGCTGTTTGGGTGGCCCTAGTCCACTCAGGACCCCGGGGACACCTGCAGAGGGAGGGCCACGTGAGCACATGCGGGATGGAGGCCGTCTGCAGGGCAAGGAGGGAGGCCTCTGGGAAGCCAGCTCTGCTGACATCGTCATCTTCGAGCCCAGCTCCAGGACCAAAAGGACAAAATTCTGTCTCAGCCCCAAGGCTGCAGTGTGTTGCTCTGGATGCCTGAGCAGACGGGACAGTTCTGTACATGGAAGTTTGGAAGGTTTCCAACTAGAAATGGTGACCACAGGCCACGGGGTTACAATGACAACTAAAGACTTTCAAGGTTGTTGGCTAAACTATTCTTTGTAATTATTCTCAGGTAACTTGTCATGTATGTTTAATACGAACACATGCAAATAGAATATAAATATTAAGGAAGGACTTCCCTGCTGGTGCAGTGGATAAGAATCCACCTGCCAGTGCAGGAGACACGGGTTCGATCCCTGGTCTTGGAAAATCCCACGTGCCTTGGAGCAGCTAAGCGCATGCACCACAGCTACTCAGCCAGCACCCTAGAGCCTGGGAACCGGAGCCCCCACTCCCTGCAAGCAGAGAGAGCCTGCGTGCAGCAACAAAGACCTAGTGTAGTCATGAGTTAATTAATTTACAAACATTAAGGAAGAATTGCCTCACCTGTCAGAATGGCAGCCAGCAGACAACTGTCAGGATGCAGAAACAAGGGGCCCCTCACACACTGTTGGCGGGAATGTCAATTGGTACAGCTATTGTATGCACCTGTATGGGAAACATTATGGCAGTTTCTCAGCTAAAAATAGAACTATCCTATTACCCAGCAATTCTACTCCTGGGTGTTTATCAAAAAAAAAACAAAAACAAAAACAAAAGAATTTGAAAAGATAACGTGCGCTGCTATGTTCATCAGTTCAGCTGCTCAGTCCTGTCCGACTTTTTGCGACCCCATGAACTGCAGCACTCCAGGCCTCCCAGTCCATCACCAACTTCCAGAGCTTGTTCAAACTCATGTCCATTGAGTTGGTGATGCCATCCAACCAACTCATCCTCTGTCATCCCCTTCTCCTCCTGCCCTCGATCTCTCCCAGCATCAGGGTCTTTTCCAATGAGTCAACTCTTCGCATCAGGTGGCCGGTTTAGACCTTATTGATTTTCACTTTCTCTCATTTGCTTTAAGAGTGAGAAAATCCCTTCCAATTCAGCTGATTTCAAAGGTTGGCCCACTGGAATTTCTATAAAGTAACCATTAGTAAGTCTTGCCACATGCTTTGAGGGGGCCCACTGCTAAATGAAGATGGCAGACTCTGTTCCAAAAAAAATAAAACCTTTGTTTTATTTCCCTTTCTTCTACACAAGAATACTTGTAGAGGAGAGAGACCCTCCCAGGTACTTGGGGGTCCCTCCTTGATTCACTTCACAGGGTGCACAAGCCCAAAGCCAGTACCACCTGTGCCAAGTCCCCATCAAGGTGGACAGTGGCTGCAGTCTTGGGGCAGATGTGGATAAGCAGACTCCTGAGAATCCTTGCTGGGGAGGCAGGGAGGTGGTGGGAAGTAGGACCACACGTGAGCTTGAGACAGGCTGGGACCTGGGACTTGGTATCCTTCGCTTCAGTGCTTGCACTTGGACAAACATCTCCTTTAGCAACAAAATACAAAGAAACTATAAGGGACTAAAAATAACTGCATGCATGTGCAGATGGGACAAAGTATGGACAGTAAGATACAAAAAAATAAAAAAGCCCAACTGCCACTTCTGAAGAGCCCAGAGCAAAAACAGGATGTTAGGAGCAAAAGCAAGGCACTGCCCATGCCCCATGCACACAATACCGCCTAAGGGCTGGGCAAACCCCCTCAGCCAGCCCCTGGCCTGATACTTGGACACGCCTGTTACCCTCACCCTGTATAAGGAACCAGCTTGCCCCACCTTAGGGAGCAAACAAGGGAAGCTGTTAGATGTTTTCATTCNTTTTAACTTTTTCCATTACTGCTTCTTGGGGATGGTTTTGACCACCACCTGCTGTACAATGTCATGAACCTCTGTCCATAGTTCTTCAGGGACTCTGTCAGATCTAAACCCTTGAATCTATTTCTCACTTCCACTGTATAATTGTAAGGAATTTGATTTAGGCCATACCTGAATGGTCTAGTGGTTTTCCCTACTTCCTTCAATTTAAGTCTGAATTTGGCAATAAGGAGTTCATGATCTGAGCCACAGTCAACTCCCAGTCTTGTTTTTGCTGACAGTATAGAGCTTGCCATCTTTGGCTGCAAAGAATATAATCAATCTGATTTCAGTGTCAACCATCTGGTGATGTCCATGTGTAGAGTCTTCTCTTGTGTTGCTGGAAGAGGGTGTTTGCTATGACCAGTGCATTCTCTTGGCAAAACTCTATTAGCCTTTGCCCTGCTTCATTCTGTACTCCAAGGCTAAATTTCCCTGTTACTCCAGGTATTTCTTGACTTCCTACTTTTGCATTCCAGTCCCCTATGATGAAAAGGACATCTTTTTTTTTTTCTTGGTGTTAGTTCTAGAAAGTCTTGTGAGTCTTCATAGAACGGTTCAATTTCAGCTTTTTCAGAATTAGTGGTTGGGGTGTAGACTTGGATTACCGTGATACTGAACGGTTTGCCTTGAAAATGAACAGCTTGAGTTCTGCATTTCAGACCCTTGTCGACTGAGGGCTACTCCATTTTCTTCTAAGGGATTTTTGCCCACAGTAGTAGATGTAATGGTCATCTGAATTCACTGATTCCTCATTCAGACCTGCCTGTGTTCATAGCAGCATTATTTACAATTGCTGAGATGTGAGACAACCTAAATGTCCATCAGCAGAAGAATGGATATGGAAGATATGATGTGTATACATACATGCAGTGGTATGCGGTGTATATGTGTGTATGTATGTATGCATACATAGATACAGTGGAATAATAGCCGTAGAGAAAAAGAATGAAAATTTCCCTTTTGCAACAACATGGGTGGGCTTGGAGGGTATTATGCTTAGCGAAAGTCAGAGAAAGACAAATACTGTTGGATATCACTTACAAGCAATAAACAGCATGTACAGCACAGGAAATAAGGTCACTATTATAACAACACTGAATGGGTATAACCTGTAAGAACTGAATCACTGTGTGTACACCTGTAACTTACATGATGTCGTACCCAGCTCTGTAACTTACGTGAAGCCTGCGCCGACTCTGCTACAGTATTTTTTAAAAGTGGAAAATGACTGAGGAAGAACAGTGCATGTAGAGCTGGGATTCCGGGCTTTGTGTCCCGCCTTCTTCAGTTGCTGCCTGTCAGACAGCAACTAGTGCTGGGCCTGGGCTTTCAGAGTTCAGCTGGGAGGGACCCCAGACCCAGTGGTGAGGAAATCCCAGGGCCGGAGCCTGGAGGAAGCCAGGCCCAGCTGAAGGGGCGTCCCCGGACCGCAGCAGGAGCAGCCTCGCGCTCAGCACTCTGCCCTTTCCCGCTGGCCTTCTCCCTGGGGGGCTCCGGTGTCTGCGAGATGCAGACAAGTCCCCGTGGGCACGGGCTTCCAGCCTGGACCCACCCCAAGCCCCAGGCCCGACTCCTCAGCACCTGCCCGGGGACATGGGCGCATCCCGTGGATGTGTGCCTGGCCAGACTGGGGGCTCTGCTCCCAGCCGCCCCGCTATGGTCCCATCTCCAGGTACCAGCCCTGACCTCCCGGGTGCTCCGGCCGAGACCCTGAGAGCCCTGAGCCCCAAGCCCGCTCTGCTGCGGCAGATCCTGCGGCCTCCTCCCTCTGGGCCCACAGCCGGCCCGCAGCCCCTCGCCCTCTGCCACCCAGACCCCTGCAGTCGCCTCCAGTCGGGGTTCCGCTTCCCTGGGATGCTCCGCCCTCACCCCTGCAGCCCCCCGCCCCACCCCGCGCCCCCTGGTCCTACACGCTGGCCCTCTGGGCCCCCGGCCCCTCCCTCGGGCCGCGCCCGCTGTCCTCTGGCTGGCATCACGCTTTCCTCCAGGTGACCCAGCCTCCTACCACGCCTGCCCGAAGGTCACTTCACCGCCAGCCTTCCTGGCCGCTCCTCTCAAGTGCAGTTCTGCTTCCCCATGGCCTACACCGACTCTGTGTCCCTCCCTGTCCCGTCTCACACACGCGTGTGCACACACACACGCGCGCACAGGGCTGGCTCCCTTCCTCCTCTTGGCCTGTGCCACGATCCCACCTGGCACCCCCTCCGTCTGCCCCATGGCTGTTGCTTTCCTGTGTGCCCCCCGCATGAGAACCCAACTCTGAGAAGGCGGGGGTGTTTTCCTGTTTGCTCACGGCTGCACCCGGGGAGAGCACAGCGCCTGACCCAGAATGGTTCTGTAAATATTTGTTACGTGGATTGAGAAACACTGTGAAGCCAGGGGCGGTTCTCAGCCCGAAGGAGATGCCAGATTGGACGGAACAGGGGGACTGAGGATGGAGTGAGGGGGGGGGTGGGACTGGGCCCTGGCTGAGAGGAGACTGCCTCCCATTCCCTCGGGGGTGACCTGGGATGGCTGGGGAGGTGGTCAGGTGTTTAAGGCCCAGAGGTGCTGAGTCACTGTGCACCTGACCCGTGCGGATCTGCCACTTTGGCAGTTTACTTTTTATCCGAGTGAGATTTGCTTTCTGAGAAAACTTTCCTGTAGTTCAGATTTCAAGATCTATTATTTTTACAGTCTTGTGTTTTTTTATTCCTAAGAAGATTTGGTCCTAATACTTCACTCCCTTGGCCTCAAGTTTCTACTTCCTTCCCAACATGGGTGGCATTAAAGTGAAAAATAGACCAGGACCTCTCCTGTGGTCCAGTGGTTAGAATTGATAGCTTATGGTGGATGAGGTCAGATTCATGATCTCCAAAGAAGATTTAGCTTTGGGACCAGGGACCAGGCTGGATCACTCGAGCTTTTGTGTAACAGAGTTATATTAAAGTATAGAAACAGAGAAAGTTTCTGACATAGACATCATCAGAAGGGGGACAGAGTGCCCTTCCACCCCGCTAGTCTTATCAAGACCAGATATACTTTTACCGGACCCACTCCTACAACATACATCTTAAATTAACAATTATTTTTACAGTCTTGTGTTTTTTTATTCCTAAGAAGATTTGGTCCTAATACTTCACTCCCTTGGCCTCAAGTTTCTACTTCCTTCCCAACGTGGGTGGCATTAAAATGAAAAATAGACCAGGACCTCTCCTGTGGTCCAGTGGTTAGAATTGATAGCTTATGGTGAATGAGGTCAGATTCATGATCTCCAAAGAAGATTTAGCTTTGGGACCAGGGACCAGGCTGGATCACTCAAGCTTTTGTGTAGCAGTTATATTAAAGTATAGAAACAGAGAAAGTTTCTGACATAGACATCATCAGAAGGGGGACAGAGTGCCCCTTCCACCCCGCTAGTCTTATCAAGACCAGATATACTTTTACCGGACCCACTCCCACAACATACATCTTAAATTAACAAGGTGAAAATTAACAATAGAAAGGTCTTACCCACTCCCACATAAAATGTCAGTCAGAAGGTTCTTGTTAAAAAGGAGAAATGTGTCCTGGTTGTATATAATCCTTACTACAAGCTTCTCTTTACTAATCACCTTCTCTGATTGATTATATTCTTTGCAGCCAAAGATGGAGAAGCTCTACACAGTCGGCAAAAACAAGACCGGGAGCTGACTGTGGCTCAGATCATGAACTCCTTATTGCCAAATTCAGACTTAAATTGAAGAAGGTAGGGAAAACCACTAGACCATTCAGGT